AACTTTGGGTCAAATGTGGACTAGCCCAACTTTTGGGTTAAAAATTTAATTTTAAAAATTTAACCCAACAGTTGAGTTAGTCCACATTTGATCCAAAGTTGGGTTGAAACAACCCAACAAGCTTTCGCTGCTGGACTTGTGGCTCACGCTTTGTGTGACAACTAGCCCCAGTCTTTCCAACACGTTCTCCTCTGCTCGCTAACAGACTCTGTGGATGGTTGCGGTTTTGCATAGTTTTTCCACAGCAATCAGAGCCGTTTCCATCTGAATAGCAGAGAATCGCTGATCTCAAGTGCGCTATGAAAGGACAGGGCAGTAAAATATATTGTTGTGGAAAGTCTCTCTATTGATGGGCCTCCGGGCTGCTGCATGGCCAGTCGGACACAAAGAGGGTGAAACGGTCCAGAAAACACTTTTGTGGCCCTTTTCTTTTCCATCAGGGCGCGATTAAAACACCCCAAAGGAGGCCGAGAGCGACGGGGGCTCAGAACCCACCGGTTTATACAGGGGCTTGTTCTTGGGTTCGCGCTAAAGAGAAACAGATTTGTTTTTCTGCGCTTTGAATTGAAGAAGCGGTTTGCAGATGTTGAGCTCCCAGCAGAGGAATGCGTCTCTCGCGCTGAGGGGGGTTTGTAATCTAACGCAGAGCCCACACAGCTCGCCGGCTTCATGAAATATATAAACATTTTATTTATCCTGTACGGGAGGTGAGGTTTGCCAAAAACCACGTTACTATGGAATCCCACGTTTGCAGCCAATAGAACAACAGAATGCGTAATGAAGAGAGGAGGGGTCTCCGCGCGTAAATGCGCAGCCGAGCGTGAAAGCGCCGGAGGGACAAAGACACGCAGCATGCAACAGGACTCCGAGAGCAGAAAACACACTCCAAATAACATGCAAACGCAGGAGGACTCTCACACTTTCGGTGAACGGATAAACACTTGAAATGCGTAACCGGATAGCAGCAGATTGAACTGATCACATGGATAACCGCTGAACTTTCCCTCTGAAAAGCCTCATTGTGGAGTGAACGCAGACGCACCGTGTTATGCGTTCACCTCGCATTTCAATTGAAGTGCACCAGATCGATGCAAGCATGCACCTAATCTGAGTTTGCAGCAGAAATGGAGAGCCGCATCGTTCCCGTGGCATTTCTCTCGTTTGTGATGATGCTGGAGGCGCAGATGGTTTGCTGGCAGGCGCTGATGCGATGTCACGAAGAACGCGACTGCGAGCTCGCCTACAGCCAGTACCTGAGCGCGTGCGACGGGAACATCCGCCTGTGTCCGAGCCACTGCATCAGCGCGCTCATCCGCCTCAACCAGACCGCAAACGGCCCGTTTCTAGAGACCTGCGACTGCGGGAGCGACCCGGAGTGCCTGCGGGCCAAACGAGCCGTCGAGCCCTGCCTGCCGCGGACGCATCCGGGCGACGCCGATGGGATCGGTTGCATGGAAGCTCGCCAGCGCTGCGAGGATGAGCCCAGCTGTCAGTCATCCCTCACCGCATATCTATCCCACTGCGGACAGCTGTTCAACGGGAGGAAGGGTTCGTCCCGGTGCAGAGCCACCATCGAGGATATGGTCAAACTGTGTTCGATAGGAGACAACAGCGTCTCCATTGACCACGACGGGACGGACGATGCATACGAGGACGAGGATTATGAGGTCAAACCGGAGAGCGAGGGGACCGATGCTGATGCAGTGCCGTCGGTGACTCGTTCTCAACAGACAGTCCTGCTGTGCATTGCATTCGCTCTGGCGTTCACACTTTAAAGTGCCACACACAAGTGCTCAGTTCCACTTGTTGAAGTGTCTCGAGACAAACAGTAGGCACATAAAGGAGCCGGTTTTGGGATCAAGTGCTTCATTAATGTGAAGAGGCCCTTCAGAAGCTGTTAAACGCTCTCTTTCTCTCTCACGCTTGAGTTTCATTGGTTTGTCCTCTTCCTCTGAACTATCAGGTCTTGGATGTGAGAGTTTGACAGCATGCACACCATCACCATCATCTCTATTGTTCGTGTATGCTGGAAATCAACACCAAGTGCCTGACGACTGTCTGTATTTTAGTGGAGCTTGAAACTGTTTTCTTCATACACGTTTTCAATGGTTTTAGACCTTTCGTTATCACTTTAAAACCTTTTATATCTAATGCATTATTAATGTAGTTTTAATGCATTAATTATGCCTTGTAATGCACTCTTGAATAATTGTAACCACAGTTACAATCCATTAGAATACATTGTTACACCATTAAAAAATATAATGCATTAAAACACATGACAGACTTTCAAATATTATAATGCATTTTAACTTTGGCTACAATTAATTATGAAAAGATATAATGCATTACAATGTAGGCTACATTATGGATACCTTTATAATGCGTTATACCTAAAGGCTTTAAGTAAAGTGTTTCCAACTTTTCTTTTTTGCATATGATGAGTTATTAGTAATGTTAAAGTTTAGAGTTTATTTAAACTCTAAGATCAGAAGCACACTCTATGCAAGTATGCAAACACCGATCGAAACGTAAACCAATCCATTCTCGATGTTGCCGCAAGGGACGCACGTTATAGCAGACATTATTAATGTGCACTTCTATGGTCAGGTCAATTACTGTCATTGCATTTGAGGAGAATCTTGCAGAGCAAGTTAGTTAAAGGTAATCGAACTGTTAACGTTTATAGTGTACTTGAGTATGTTTCTGGTTTAATATTTCTTGAACTTCTCAAAGTGTCTTGAAGCTTCATAAATGTTGTACAGAAAGTAATTTATTTATACATTTTGGAATAATTAATTTGGAATAAAAGTCATGCTGAAATGTAAGAGGAACACTTGTCTTAAGTTCATTTATAAACTGAAAAGCATGGAATATTAATTTCCAAATCCAATGAACACAACTTTCAAACCGGGTTTGACTAAATAAATTAACAATCAATAAAGCTACAGCAATGACCAGCAGCACATTTTATTGGTTAATAAGATCATCGGTGCTAAATCCTCTTCCATATAGCTATATAGTACAAGTTAATCCAAAACGTAGTATGCATGTATTAAATAAGTAAGGGGGGGGGGTAGATATATATTATTTTCTTTCTTAGTATTTTTGTCTTGTTTTCCAGTACAAATATATAAACATTCTTAAATCAAGATACATTTACTGTAGAAGAAAAAAAAAAGTGAAAAATGTATCAAAATTAAGTGTTTTTGCTTAAAACAAGAAACATATCTGCGAACGAGCAGCCTTGTTTTCCCTTTGCATTAAGTTTATTTTTCTTACTCCATTGGCAGATCTTTTTCAGACTTAATATCTTAAGTCATTCTGCTTCCCAAGAAAAAATGTATCTTGATTTAAAGGTGGGGTAAGTGATTTCTGGTAGCCAATGTTGACATTTGAAATCACCAAAACAAACACGCCCCTACCCCAAAAGGGTCTCGCCCCTATTTTGATAGCTCCGCCCCACACATACGTACGCAACCCAGGCAACGATTAGTTCTGTGAAACAAAGCAAAACTAATGTTACACCGTGTCTACACCGGACGTGAGTGGCGCGGCGCGACAAAATACTATAGAACTCATTATAATCAGTGAAACTGTCTACACCATAGATATATATATATATACATATCTATGGTCTACACTGGATGCGGCGCGGCACGACACGACAAATCCCCGACAGAAAACTGCTGCTGCGTTCTATTTATAATATTACCGCCCCTTAATCTGTAAGTTTCCACCCATAGCACCATCATGTTGATTTCGCAAGCGACAACAGTGTAGCAGCTCTAACGCCATGATGAAAGTTTGAGCAAAGCATGCTAACTGTTCTGTGTTTGTCTGCACAGATGAGCGAAGCGTCTGCGTGCTGTAAAGTCTGTGGAAAGCTGTACTGCAGATGCCGGAGGCTCTCTCTGGATTTTTATGCGAAAACAACAAGCAGGAACCCGACTAACTCGACACTAAAGCCCCTCTTTCCTCCTTCTGAAACCCCACCGAACGGCCGGGAACAAAATCAAAATAAACAAAAGCAGGGGAGACGGGGCCCGTTTTCTCATTTATCTGTGACCCAGATTCCAACCCCCACACGGCTGCGCTTAGATTGTAGAGCTGGCATTGTGTCCAGTGGGACTTATTCACGACGTGCACGTCAATGTGAGGAGACCTTGTGACCGTCCCTCCTTACACTCACAATCCTTCCTCAGTTCATCTGATGTTGAGCTGGCATGACTTCTCTGAGCTTGAATCACAGAGAGAGATCCAGGACTGAGCTGGCAGAACACACAGGTCTGTAACAACAGGGCCGTTGTGTTTGTGTGTGTGTGTATGTGTGTGTGTGTGTGTGTGTGTGTGTGATTATGGATTATGGACTCTTATGTATTTTAGTTAAAAGTGACAGAAAGAAAACGATCACTGCTGTTCATCAGCTAATCGAACGCATTGATCAGAGGCTGATCATCTCAAAATGAGCAAATATCAGGATGATTCCAAGGGTCCGACGAGGGGCCCAGAAACCATAGCGGCGGCCCTGCATCTGATGAATCCGTTCACAGGCATTACGCTGAAAATACACAGAATAATTCTTAATCATAGTAAATATTTTTACATGAACGAAAGGATGAGTGATGAGTGTGTGATGCCATGTTTAGTGCGGTGTGTGTGTGCAGTGATTGTGTCGTGCCGGCGTGTGATTGGTGGGACGGTGACTGCACTGTGAGCAGATGGACCACCTCACCCTTGGCGTGTGTGTGTGTGTGTGTGTGTGTGTGAGAGAGAGAGCTGCGATCCGTACCTGTCCTCTCTGATGAAACTCCAGAGCTCGTGAGATCTGATTAAACTACAGGTTAAGAAGCCTTTAATTAGTGCCATTTGTTACATCAATCGTCGCTACGCTGCAAAAAAAAGTGACGTTCTTCCTCCTCAGTATTTTTGTGTTTTGCATGACAAATATCTAAATATTTTTAAATCAAGATGCATTTACTTGAGAAACAAAATTACTTATTAAATCTTGTAGAGAAAATATCTGAAAATAGGGTCAGAAAAATACATTCAAAGGTCAGATGCTTTACTTTAAGGTCCAATTCTCACTATTAACTAGTTGCTTATTAGCATGCATATTACTAGCACATCTGCATGAGCATATTTTAGATCCCTTAATCCTTAAATACCTAAATACCAATACCTAAACTTAACAACTACCTTACTATTACTAAACAGCAAAAAAAAATGAATTCAAAAGTAATGGCGCTGACCCAGATTTAGTTAACATTAGTGAACAGTTAATGCATTTGTTTCAGTATTAATATTAGGTAATAAAAATACAACTGTCAGCTAGGTCTATTAAATAATATTAACAGATACAACTTTTGATTTTAATAATGCATTAGTAAATGCTGAAATGAACTAAGCTTTATGAATGCTTCTCATTGTTGACTACAGTAAAGTGTTACGGTTGTGTTTTGTTGTGCTGCGAGTGAATGTGATGCTGGTTTCTGCAGGCTGATTTATTCCAGAGAGGAAAGAGGAATGCAGGGGAGAATTATATTACTGGAGGAATGCGGAGAGGAAATGACAATTTATGGCCAACTGAAATTTATAATGCAAGAACATATTCACTCAGAGAGAGAAATACAGATGATGCTTTCATTCAAATCAGAGCTTGTTTAACACATGCACACAGTATTCTGACGCTAAACTCTCCCTTTGTAAGTGTGTGTGTGTGTGTGTGTCTGTGTGTGTCTGTGTGTTTGTGTGTGAGCCCAGAGTAAACACACAGAAAGCCATACCTCTCTCATGCTGCTGGATCTGCGGTAGAGCTACGGTCGGCCTCTGTGTGTGTGTGTGTGTTTTTGTGTTTGTGAGTGAGTGAGTGAGTGAGTGACTGATATCTTTGTTATGGAATACACGTGTTGGTTCGCAGTGAGTTCACAG